TATTCTGTATTCCATGTCCTTCACTGACTCCTAAATATTTATAGATTTCTATTTGTTCCAGATCCTTAATCTTTGTAACAATCTAGATCTACTGGGTGCGTTTCTGTAATTCCCCTTCCTTGAATCTTGCTGAATAAAGTTTCTTGTTTTTGTTCTTCTTGTTATTATTAATAATGATAATAATAATAATAATAATACATTTACTTGTGTTTATAGTTTGTTAATTTGTTTATTATTTACTTAGATTTATATAATATTATATAATATAAATCCTGGAAACATTTGCACATACCAAATATTATAATTTTTACTATCACAGCAGTGAGGAAATTATACTGAAATGATGATGAAATTTTTTAATTTCATCATCATTTCAGTATAATTTCCTCATGGAAATTATACTGAAAGGATGATAATTCCAATTTTCCTACCTTATTATTGCTTTATGTTAAAGGTAGAAGCCTTCAAAAGTTAATTATAATGGAAGCATAGTTGGAACAAGCATGATACTTGGAAAAAGATATCCAGAAAATTAGCACCATAGACATCAAAGCAAGTTATTCCTCATAAATACAACCCCTGAGAATGACAAGTAAAATAATACAACACAGAATATAAGGGGTCTAAGTGACCTTGACTTTTGTGACTAGCATTAACAGGCATAATGTATCAATTTGATTCCATGAACATAATAATTATGATTAACATGGCTTTTTTTTTGCTTTTGTCATTTATCAAATCATGATATTTAGCTTCTGCTAACTGTAAACCATTAGAAGACAGAATACACAGCTGCCAGTAAAAGAGACAACTCAAGTTGTGAGCTGCATATTTAGGGACATAAAAATCAAGTAGGTACAGAAATTTAAATATCTGTAGTAACCAAGGATGGAAAATGTGATACAGAAATGCAAAGGTATGCTGGTATAGCGAAATATGCTTTACAGAAACTAAAAGAATTCAGGCTGGAAAATTTTATTATAAGCAAAGAAAAGCATGCTGAACTATGATATGGTATCAGCTCTCTGATATAACAGTGGATGCTGGGCAGTTTCCCCAACAGATGAAGATTAGTCTTGAGATGAGAGAGATGTCGTTCTACAGATGAACACTAAGAATATGATGGACAGAGAATGTCAGTGACAAAGGAGATTTCAGGAAAATGTTAACAATTCCTTACAAAGTCAGAAAGAGACTCTTGAAAATTTTGGGATAGATAATGAAGAAAATAGGCTTGGAGAATTTGACACTCACATGACATATTGATTGCAAGAGGGAGATGAAAACAAATGAGGTAAAAGGAGTGAGAAAGATGCTGGTACTAAGAATTCCAAACCGCAATAAATCTAAAGGAAAGCGAAAAACAAGATAAATGTCTAAACATTACCAGAAAGCTGGGGATGTTGTAGAACATAAAGATGACAGTTTTAATAGTAGTTACCAGAGCACTGGTAACAGTCCCAAAGTGTCCGAGAAAAATTCTGAGATAAGCAGGAATTTGAAACTCTCCAGATAATGGCATCATTGGAAACAGCTGGAATACTGAAAAGTTTGCCAGAGTATTGGGGGGAAACATTACTTAACCTGCAGAGGGTGGGAAGGGAGGCACCAGTATGTCACGAGTTTCTAATGGTGGGAAGGGAGGCACCAGTATGTCACGAGTTTCTAATGGTGGGAAGGGAGGCACCAGTATGTCACGAGTTTCTAATGGTGGGAAGGGAGGCACCAGTATGTCACGAGTTTCTAATGGTGGGAAGGGAGGCACGGTGGTGTAATGGTTAGCAGCTCAGATTGAGGAATTGGAGAGCTGAGTTTCAAATCCAGTTGAATCCGTTACATTCACTTACGTGCTAATACCCTTGGGAAAGGTATGAATCCTCTTTTTCTCCCCACAGCTATGGATAAAATTGCAGGACAGACCAGGTTCTATAGCCTTGGATGGCAACCTACAGAAAAAGAAATGAACCTATAAAAAAAAATGCCTGTCAGTCATGTATCAAAAGATACATAATCGCCTAAGCATGTATAATGCATGGTACATAACTGACTGACCTATGTACACTAATTGGTATGTCCCAATTCTCATTAACACATTGGATGTTATTGTAAGTGGGGGTAATATACTAAGTAGTCCACCACTAGCAGTGGTTTACCTACTTCCTGCTGCTAGCAAGCAATGTATTTTATTGATGCTATAAAGATTACCATTTCATTTCCAACTTCTGGTCGGAACACTCAGTAATAATAAAAATAATAAAGTATTTGACCATACATACTAATGATGTAATTTAGAATTATTTGGTAATTTAATGATTAATTGATCATTGATTTATTTTCTATGGTTTATCAACCCTTTGCAAGTTATTTAAAGCCAGAAAGTATGTATATAATAATTAATAATAATTAGTAATAATTTTTTTTAGTAATGATGGTTTAGTTACAAAGCCGAAAGGTGACTTCATACCTTTCCCAAGGGTATTTAGTCATAACTGAATATAATGAACCTAATGGGAAGTGGAACTCCAAATAACAATTCTGTGCCATTATCCATTACATCCAAGCTTACAGCACCTGGTATTCCCGATTGGTCACCCATCTATGCACTGACCAGGCTTGATGTTACTTAACTTTGGTGATCATACAGCAACCATTGTTTTAAGGTAATCTGACTGTAAATCTTGGTATTTATAGATGTGTGTGTAGAATAACAATAATAAACAGCATTTACTGGTGTAAAGGTCCCAGCTAGCATCCAGCTGGCAGACAAAAATAAAGCAGGTTGTAACTTAATACAAACCCTGCAAACTAACAGCTGAATCAAGCTGGTATTTATATAGAAATACCTCCACTCAGGTACCAGCAGCCAATCACAGCCCAAGCAATGGACTATCCCACTTTAGCACAATGAGATGCTCTATGGCAACATAAATAGCTCTCTTTCTAAAGGTTGGATTATTGTTCACTTAGCTTGCTCCACAACTAAGTGTTTATCTCTACCACAGTGATTTTTTTTACATGGCGCTGTGAACAGGATTCGAACCTGTTCTGGAATAACCCATTAATTTTCAGAATGTTACGTATTGAAGACATTTATCCTGTGCCAATGAATCTGTTTATTGGCCCGGGATGAATGCTTCAATACCAGAACATTAGAGCAGGTTGTAAACAAAGAAAGCTCAAAAATTGCCCCGAAGTCAACCAAAAAGATTTAATCAACTTGACACCATCTCCTGATTGGCCATTTCAGCAAATCGTCATGGACATCTTCCATGTTGGGAACCATGGTTTACTTAGCATGCGCTGACAGGTTAACAGGCTGGCTAAATCTATACCACTTGAGCCACGGAGAAGCTAATGCGTCAAAAATTTATTTCAATGCGAGACATATTTTTAGCTTACGGTGTTATTGAGGAATCAGCACTGAAGGTGGGCCACCCTTCACATCCTTTTTACATTCAAGCAATTTTACAAGATGGGCTGTCAAACACAGGTTATCATCTGCAGGTTACCCACAATCCAATGGTCGGGCAGAGCTTGCTGTCAAAACGGCAAAGAGAATCGTAAATGGCAACACAGGAGCCCAAGGATCGTTGGACAATAATCGTGCAGCAAGAGCCATCCTCCAATACAGGAATACGCCCATTCAAAACATTGGGCTATCCCCTACTCAACTACTACTCCACCGCCAACTACGTGACTATATACCATCCCACCCCACACTCTATAAGCCACATGCGAATTGGATAACCGCAGCCCAAAATCGCGAGATAAGTCTGTCCCGCGGAACGCTCGTCTCATAGAGCGATACAACAGAACAGCACACACCTTAAACCACCTTCAAAAAGGACAAATAGTGTCACTACAACGACCAACAACCCGCCGATGGGACACAACAGGTCAGGTCATTGAAACCCTCTCCAACCACCAATACCGTATCAGAGTTGATGGATCAGGTAGAATTACCTTTTTATCAAATCGCCGATTCCTCAGGAAACTGGATACACCTACAATTCCAGTTCCAAGACCTAGTGCCTTACCTGAGACCCCTACACCAGTGCCACAAACATTCGACGCTGGAATAACGTCGAACACTGCTCAGTCGTCTACAATAACACGGACAAAAACCCCTCGGTCATTGCGTTCACTTTTTTGCTAGGGCCCTTGAATCTCTTCTTCCCCTCCAACTTTGGGTTAAATAGCACTGTGTGTTCGAGTCTTGTGGCAATTTGTCATTGAGAAGAAAAACTCTAAATTCCAAATGGTTGTCAAGGTAACCAGAGAACACCTCTCTTTCCTAAAAGATCATTTCACAGATGAAAGCGGATTTTCAAGAGCCATGATCACTTACATCCTGAAAGGACATGGCATTAGGGAAAAAAATTGGGGCTTTCCAGAATATTGGATTTGGTAGGAATAAAAGGAAGAAATTAGGTGTATGGGTTGTGTGTATGTTTTTAGATTTATATCTATGTGTATATAAATATAAGTTAAGTAACGAAAATCTTGGTAATCCGTATGAATAATCCCAAGGAGGATGAGTTAATTCAGACCTAACAATTTAAAGAAAAACAGAATACTTTAAAGCTCCATTGTAATAATTTATTTCACCAGAGACTTTTAACCTTCCCTGGATCTTCAGACATCAAGAAAGGGATATCTGAAGATTCAGGGAAGGTTAAAAATTTATTTTAACTCAATTTAATTTAAATAATTATATTGAAGTTTTCCATCAATTTTGTTTTGAAACATGGACTTCTTATGTCAATGATTTGGAATCATATTTTTAAATAAATAATTATATATATATATATATATATATATATATATATATATATATATATATAAATATATATATACAATATACACACAAACACACATGAGGCATTATGCTCAGTGATTGGCCAATAATAATAATTTTATAACTATTCCCATGCAAATAACTTAGCAGTGTCACCTAAAATTCCAAGCTGTTATCCATGAGACCATCTGCACATCCAGTCTTACACCACCTGGTATTCCCAAGTAGTCACCCATCTACATACTGACCAGACTTGACTTTGTTAAACTTCAGTGATCGTATGGAAACTGGTGTTACAATGTGATATGGCCATAAGCCAACTGGGGAAAAGTTTAATTTTGAAACTTGTTGAGTTATTAAGATAAGAAAATCACTTTTAATACTGATATGTTTCTTTTTAAATATATGAAGCAATTTTTTAATATTCATTAAATTAACTGTCCCTTAACGGTTGTTACATTTGCCTATTTTTCTTTTGACTTTTGGCAACACTTATCAATAGAAGTTACTATATCTGTCCGTTAAGAGTTGTTGAATTTTCATACTTTTTACTTTTGATCATTGGCAATTGATGTCATGTCGATGTAGCTGACAGTTGTAAATTTTTAAAATAATGTGAGGTGATTTAAAACAACATTAAGCAAAAAGGAAATGGAGTAATGGATAGTGGCTTGGATTGAGGAATCGGAGAGCCGAGTTTGAATTTAAGTCGAATCCATTACATTCACTCACATGCTAATAACTTTAGGAAAGGTATGAATCCTCTTCTCCCCACAGAGTAAATAGCAAGAGGGACAAGGTTCTGTAGCCTTGGATGGCAACTGGTCTACCACAGAAAAAAATGGCAACCTACTGCAGGAAAAAAAATCTGCCTTGTCAATCATATATCAAAAGATACATGATTGCCTAACTGACCTTTTCAAGACTACGGCTACTCCATTTACATTTTGTTATAGAGGATAATATTAACATTATATTGTGAAGAGCCATGACTGCCTGCATCCTGAAGATTTATGACTATATCACATTGAAACACTGGTTCTTATATGACCACCAAACTTAAATAACGTCAAGGCATATCAGCACCTAGATGGGTAATCGCCTGGGGATAACAGGTACTGTAAGCTTAAATGTGCAGGTGATGTAACAGATAATGGCTCAGAATGAGAAATCAGAGATCCAAGTTCAAATTCCAGCCAGGTTTTCTCTACCCACTTACACCCAAATACTCTAGGGAAAGGCATGAATCCACCTCTTCTTCTTAGCAATGGGTTAATTAGTAAGTTATCTCAAAAAAGAAAATCTTAAAATCTAAAAATATTTTCTGACTTTAAATTACCTTCAAAAGGTTGATAAGCCATAAAAAATCAAATCGATCAATCAGTGCCTTCATCCTGAAGGAAACATGTCCTATTGCGAAAGGGTTAGAGGAGGCCACCAAAAATATTTAGGGTGGGTTACAATAGATCAGGCAAGCTCTATTCTTTAGTTCCACCAGTTGAGACATTTACAGCTAATACTCACCATGCTATGCCCGAAGATTTGAATCCTCCCCATTCTCTTCAGATTCAGTGTGACAGATTTCAAAAATCATTTACATGTGGAAGATAACTCTACAGTCTCTTTCCCTACAGACACAATGTTGTAAGCGTATCAAGAAAATTGATCAAAAACATTTATTCAAATTGTAAATTGTTTGGATGAAAATTAATTAAAAGGACAATTATACTAAATGATAATTATTCAAAATACCTGTTTCAATTACATATGTGGTCTTGATTTAAGAGAGTCAATGCTGATTTACTTAAAACTAATAGCACCCTTGACGGATAGGCTTTTTTGCAGAAAGTGTCATCCCATCATTCCATAATATGGAAATTCTTAAATGCTCTTAAAAGAGAACAGGATTAGCAAAAATAAGAGAAGGTTGTCAAACTATCAAGAGCACCAAGAAACACTGTGATGTAAATGGAAAACTTAAGAAATTAGTAGCATCCTTTAACGAGTACTCTTCAGTAGCTGACTATTTGTGTGCAGTATCATATAACTTAAGGTTCTAAGGATTTTTTCTTACTAACTTTTTTATTAACAATATTCATATCTTGAATAATTATCATTTGTGCATTTCCTGTTTTTAATTTTTATATTTTTATTGCAATAAAGGATTTTGCATTTCAAGTAATTATCATTTAGTATAATTGTCCTTTAGATTAATTTTCATTCAAACAATTTACAATTTGAATAAATGTTTTTTTTTAATAATTGTTTTTGAACAATTATTTTCAAACAATGTTCTCATAACCTTTGGAAGACTGTTGCTACTCTATCTTTATATCTATGACAAAGGTTCAGATGAGCTCCATTCTTTAGTACTACCAGTTGAGACTTTTACAGCTAAGACCACTATACTATGTCTAAAGGGCTGAATCATCCTCATTCTCTTTGTATTCCATTTATGAGGAAGAAGCTCAACTCAACTTTTATCCCAAAACTGCTACTTTGTTGAACAAACTCTTATATGGATGCTTCTTCAGAACTATCTGCAATGTAATTGATCCCAGCCAGGCAACTTGACTTCAGTCGCTATCTTACTGATGTTATGTGTCTTCCCTCTGTCTTTTCTATAAATATTTTCATGGCAGCTGCTCTAATGAGCTTTTTCCCTTGCTCCCCTGAAGAGATAAATGCAAACGTGCTATGAGATTGGTGTTATAGACAAGCGTATGGTTGCAAGAAAGAAATACGACAACAGCAGAAATAGATTTACGTGGTTTATTTCAACAGGAACGTGAGGGTTTGGGACAGCTACCTTGTGGTAAAGTTCATGAGTCGGCTTCGGATCTAGGTCAATCTCTCATAGTAGTTCACACATGTTGACGGTGGTTGATGCTTCCCTGCTGTCAGCTGCTGACCGTGACAGGTCTCTTTTGTGGCCCCCCTGTTGACTGCCTGTTGAACTTCCGTGTGACCCCTTTTATAGCATTTTTTTATGGCTTAACAGGCTTGAAAAACAAAGCGAGTATAATTAGGAGGGAAGCATTTTTATTGGACAAAAAATAGAACACTTTGAATATTATTTTATTGTTTGACCGGAACACGTGTGTCGGTAACATTTGTAATTGAAGATAATGGTCATTTTGTGACAGGGCTTTGTCCCATTCACATCCAGCTCTCGCTCTTGAGTATTTTCCTGTAAATCAGCCGAGATATGTCTTATTTCATTTTATAACATTGGCATCTCAGTCCCACCCTTTGACTGTTGAAATAGCTAAATGTAACTGTCACTTCTACTTCAACAAATTCTTTTCTTGCACTTCCCACCTGTGAAACTCTCTTCCATTTACTTGTTTTCCTGATAACTATGATCTTCAAAAATTTAAATGCAAAGTCAGTTGCCATCTTCTGTCTTCTTGAATCCTTTTCATCTTTTGTCTTTTTCTCAGTCCACCCTATTCTCAGTCTTCTTTTTCAATTTAATTCCCTGTAACCTCCTGCACACTAGTGGCATTCTCACCTTGCTTGGGGTGAAATTATAAAAAAAAAATTAAAACAAACTACAATCTTGACTTCAAGTTGAGGGTTAAGTCATTATCTCCATATCCCTATAATCTTCTACTTCTTTCACTTTTTATGTTAGGCTCATGGCCACATGACATTGAAACACTGGTTTCTGTACAGTCTCTAAAGTTAAGCAACACTGAGCTTGGTCAGTATCTAGATTGGATGACCACTTGGGAATACCAGGTGCTGTAAGCTTTGAAGTGCAGATGGTGTTATGGATAATGGCTTAGAATTGTTAATCAAAGAGCAGAGTTTCAATTCCAGTTGGGTTTGTTATATTCACTTACAAGCAAATACACTTGGGAAAGTATGGATCCACCTCTTCTCCCTCCAGCAATGACTTAATTAGTAAGACTTGTATGACTGAAACCATTATTATCTCAAAAAAATAATTGCATACAAAATATATAGATTTCAGCATTAAATAACCCATAGAAACTGATATTCTGCTAAACAAAAACAACCAAAATATGTCTTATGCCTATACAACACACCTCATTCAATATCTCCCTGCCTTCAGTGGCTCTTGAGCCTTTTGCTGTGTAAACATTAGTGCAGAAAAGAAAAGCCAAAGAAAATTATTATAATCCTAATCAGAGAAAACAAAAAAGCAAAGAAAATATGTTGAAGTAGGGAGTATCTGTTTTTTGTATATTGTTATTTTATTTATTTATTATTTATTTGTTTTTTGTCTGATCTCACTGTAGAGACATTCACTTGCAGACTACACCTCAATTATCAATTTCTCAAAACCTCTGCTTCACAGATATAAGAGGTCACCAAGTTTACACTTAATGAAACCTTTTAAATTTGAATGAATTTCTTTTGTATTATTTTAGTGTCTGTCCTTCTCATTGTTCATCTGAAATGAGGATAATGGTTCCTCAGAAGGATCAGTGTGCGCTTGAGTGGATTTAATCCAATCCTTCAGTTCAACAGTTCAGTTTAGTTCTGAAAGCATCCGGAGCTTTATGTTGGATAGAAACAAAGAAAAGAGTGCTAAAATATTAGTCCCCTGCCATACAGAAATAAAACTAAATAGTAAAAGACAAAAATAGTAAAAGAAAGCAAAAAAAGAAGCTCAACATGATTGCAAAAAAGCTATTATTGTAGTTATTCTTAATGATCCTGAAAAAATAAAACATGAACTGTCCATTAAAGAAACAAAGTTTAAAAATAAATGACGAACTGTCATGAACAACAAACAATGAATCTCAATTAACAAACATTTCTTTTTTTTTTTTGTTTGCATTAAGCAATTCAAAGAGTTTACATGGTCAAATGCAAAAATAAATGACGGAACTGTCCAACAAACAGAATTGGCAAAGTTTGCATTAAGCAATAAAAAGTGAGTAGCCATGGTCAAATGCAAAAATAAATGACGGAAATGTCCAACAAACAGAATTGACAACGTTTGCAATAAGCAATAACAAGAGAAAGAAAAAAAAGGAAGTGGGGTAAAAGAATATATAACATACAAACAATATATGCAAGACGTTCACAAATTAAGAATTGGAGTTGACACACAAAAGCAAGTTTGGATGAGTGTTCTAACTTCAAGACAGATCAGGACTGTGTCAGGTGAAACTGCAAAGTGGCCAATTTTATTAGCTAGAAAAATTTTTAATTTCTAAATACTTTATACATTTTCTGAGAGTTATCATTTACCATTCTAATAAACCTTCAAATTTCTTCATTTTCTATTATTGCATTTCTTCATTTTTTTATTATTGCATTTCTCATACATCTTATTT